TTCTCGATGGAGAAGCGATTAGCCTACATGGATTTGACAGCACCCGTATTTAATAGCATCGTGCCTGCGGGTTATGCCATAGTACTGTTGTAAAATTGTGCCGCATTTCGCCATTCGTCAGATTGCTGCAGTCTCTAGTGCTGCTATCATTTAAGCACCCACTTGTTTTGCAGCCAACACATGGGTGCTCCACTAGCCAAATTCTGTGAATGCGCTCTAAAGTATTTGCTCCTGTCTTGGCGAAATACCGAAAAACGTATTCTCCTTGATTTGTAGAAGGGTAAGTCTACTCTCTTTACAGCGGCATATAAATGTTGTATTGAATGCTTTCCGGAATAAAAATGTATTTATCATTTTTTGCCGTGCAGATTTACGAACAGTGATGCTAATCCTTTTTGATAAATAAGTTGTATATAACCTTTCTATCTTTTGTGTATTAGAAATTTTTAGTTTGTTACCAAACAAAACATTTGTACCGTACGAAGAAGTCGCAGCCCCAACTGACGAACCTCCATGGACTTCAGCACTCACGCCAGAGGTTAGAAACGCGCATGACGAAAAATTTCTAACGACTTGAGTTGACCAGTGATCAGAGAATTATTTGCGCGTTTCGCGTAATTATTCGTATGTTTTGCGTTACCTTCTGTTTTGCAGTTGTCATATGTATGTTTTACCGCAATCTTTAAATAATGCATTTTTTGCTTTAGATAATTTTTTCGCAATATTTATTTATATAATTTTATAACTTTATGTTATAAACAGTTTTATTTTTTACACCTGATATTGACTCTCAGCTATCAGGTGAATCAAGACGAATTGCAGTGGTGAAGCACATACCAGACAAGATGACCTATCTCATACGCTTTGGCATGCGGAATTCAAACATGCCTCTAGAATCTAGGGCAAACGAATCCCTTGCAACTCAAGATGGTGAAACATACGTTAATATATTCACGATAACTTCATTAGTTTTAAGAAGTTGTAGAGAAGTTTTTAAACATTTTACTGTCAAAAATAATGTAGCGCTTCTAAGCAAACAGAAAAGACAAACAAGAAGCCGTGCAAAAGTGGAAAAACTTGTACAGAAACATGAAAAAAGCCCAAAAGGGGGCTATTTAAAAAAATGGTTTCGGATCAGAGTAAATTCTTTAGCCGAATCCCAGTGCAACAAATAACCAAACGGCAGTGTAGACAGGAATGTAGATATGGTGAGCCGGTCGATCAACAACCCAAAATCCCTAAGTACAGTGATGCTTCTCAAGGAGCGTACGGCGGAGGGGCATCCGAAAACGAACAAGACGTTCGCTGGTCGCCAATTGGCGGTGAAACACGGCAGTTGCCAAGAACGCGACCATCGTTGTCCAACTGGGCGATCGCAAGGCGCGCCTGTTCAACACAATGGCGAGAAGGGCCAGAACCGCGATAGTCGGTGTAAAGCAGCTCGTTCGCTTCGACATTAGGAATGAGGGCTGACAGATCGCGCATCGCCTGCGACACCACACAGCACTGCCTACCGTAGCGGTACAGACCGTCGGCGATGTGGTTCAGGGCCCCGCGAAAGCACATCGCCTTTACCACCTCCTGCTCACACTTCTCTTTGGTGTACCGTTGTTCGTAGGCGTTCCTCATTTGTGAAGCTTTCTGTAGTTGTAGCTGCAACAGTCGGATATCGCCGCCCTTTCGCCACCGCTGACCAGTTATGCTTTGTTTCCTACCAACCAAAACTTTTTAGGTTAGCAATAATCAAAGATCTGAGGTTCGAATTTAAAAAAGCTACATTTCTTGTGTACCATACCAATATCTTCTGTCATGCTCTTTACTCCACAGCACTTGTCCCTGAAACGCCCTGTATTTTTATATTTTAAATGGTTTCCAACTCACTCGTGCCTCTTCCTGCACCTTTTTTCTGCTCCATCACTTACAGGGTTTTATAAACAGTTGTTCAGCATGACATGGGGTTACGTCATTCTTGAGTTAAAATGATCCAGACTTAAGGCAGTACACTGATTTAAAACCTATTTTCCAGAACTAAGCCGAGTTTTTAACATTATCTAAAAACAATCTCCATGCCACATTTGTTCTTCTACTCATTTCGGTCGCTTACTGTTCTTAATCGTGCTCTTAATGTCTTCCAAAGTGATGCCGAAAAAGAACAAAACTATTTACGAGTCTAGAGCACGTTCCACTGAAACCCTGCACCAGTTAAAAACGTACTGCCACAAATCCGTTACGTAGATAAGTTCCTGAACGAACCAACTCCGCCGTTGCCGGTCTCAAGTCCAGTTGAGAAAGGAGGAAGGTAGGAGACCGTGGCAAACTCTACATAAAACAACCATCTGCCCTTCGTGGTACTGACGTCATCGAAAACTAAGCCGGCTACTAAGTCGTCCCCCGCGCAGGCTATTGCACGACTGAGGCAGAATGCGAAAAGTCCGAGATAAGAACCTGGGCATCGCCTTCTGCCAGCCGGGGGCGTAGTAGCACAACAACGGCTGACGAAGACCAACGGAACGACAACGAAGACAGCGCTCAGCAACGGAGTCGCTACCCGTTCTGAAGGGAGGAGGCAGACAGCGCGATGCCATTACAGCAGTCAGAAAAGGCTCCACAAGAACGACACCAGTGAGAGCTTCAAGTCGGAAAGTGGGACATATCCTCATTCAGAGAAAAAGAACAAGA